AAAAATGAAAATGTTGTTAACGAGGCATTTAAAGTGATGACATTAAATGTTTGTTCTTGAATTTTCAGTGTCAACGCACGATATTGAAGTGATGTGAGTGAACAACGAAAAGCTAAGAGAAATGAAGCAAAAGATTTTTCTTTTCCCAATTTCATACGATTGCCAAAATTATAAATATTTCATGCATTTATGTGAGCATATGCACGTAAATTAATAAAAATAAATATAAATCAATTAAAAAATTCAATCATAAAATCTTTTTATGTCCGCAACTAAATGAGAGTGAATTTCTTAATTATTTCATTTTTACTTTTAGTTTCTAAATTGATCGAAATATCAAAGCACATATGCGTCACCCCCTTCACTCCCCTCACCCGCAGGACGAAAGGTGTATTCGTTTTGTCAAAACTTTTGCAACACCAAGAAGGAAGTTTCAGAGATCCGCGCTTCGTCTGTCTGCGTTTCGTCTGTTATAAACATCCCCCTGGACGCGAAAACGAACCTACCACTTCCACTTCAAATTTGACAAAAACCTAAGAAGTTCTTGCACGCAGCTCCCTATTAAATATGAAACGAAAAATCGGTCGAAGGACACGCCTGCAGTATTAAATGAACTGGCAATACCTCTACTTTGCAAAAGAAATAAAAAATTATTTTTCTGCTCATTACTCATAACTCTCATCTTCAATAGGCTATGCTGTTTTATCTGTATAAATAAGGGAAAATTGATCACGTCTACCTAACTTTATAGTATCAAAATATACAATTTTTTTCAATATCACTGTAACGCGCAAAAGTATGCTTAAAAAACCCGATCAATATTTGTCTGTGTGTCCATCTGCCCAGCTATGTAATATTCTATCCACCCGTTCGCTTATGAATTTGCAAAAGAAAATGAACATGACCTCAACCGGTCAAAGGGCACGCCTACAGCGATTACACGCCTATGCTGCATCCAACATAATAGTCTATGAAAATTTATTTCTTTTCATTTGTTTTTTTTTTTAGAATTTTTTTGAACATTGGTGATGGGTATAAAATATTTCGATCACGGCCGCATATAGTTTTTTTTCTTGTTTTTTATTATTTTTACATACATACACTGTAGTTTACTTCTGGATTACTGCGATTGATTGATCGCAAGTAGATCTAAGCATTACTTTTTATCACATGTTAACAAAGCAATAAACCAAGTTCATCTGGAAGTAGGGCCCCACCCCACGCTCCGATCCGTAAATCTTTAATTATTAAAGAGGCGTTAAAGCGAAGGCCACCGAAGTATTCATACACATGCACTCAACCGCACATAAATTTCTTTCGCGTCTATTTCCAAAACCTCTGCTATTTCAAGCAGAGAGAAAGTATTTTTTTAGTTATTTGCATTAGTTTTTTTTTTTCGTTTTGATTGGAAGGATATGTAATAGAATAATTATATATATCCCTTAGATATTGAAAAACAAATGTACTTTTGACAATTTTCAATTCACGGGCCGGTCTGAGGTCGAGATTTCAAGGAAAATTCTCCTTTCAAGCCAAGAACCTCACCCACAGTATCCGAGACGACCAAAACATCTTTTAAGCTAATAGAAAAAATTTGATTCCCTGAAGAACTTATGGGAATGAAGACCCTTAATTACACATGAGCAACTGTGTGCAATATTGTGCATAACTTTGTCTAATTAGTACGTTTTGCGTAGCTAGGATTAATTCTCGACCAGGCTTGACTTGGCGTCCTGCTCCATTGATACAAGGCGTAGAGTGGCGACAATTTCATTTTAAAACTTGTACTCAGCTTTCCATTCGAAAATAAGGTGGTATGCTCACTATGTACCCACAGGCAAATCTGTATTTAGAAAAAATATTTTATCTAAAATCAAAGAGAAACCCTGTAATGGGTCGCGGCCCACCATTAAATACGCTGCGCGGCTTCGCTTAGCTCAATTATTAATATAGCGACTTTTCAAAATAAGCCGTTATATGGAACGTGATCGAAAAAGTGGTCCGACGCTAACCATTTTCAATAGGGTTCGTCTTTGGATCGG